AATTAGGCAACATTATTAATTAAATGGAGCATGTATGAGTTTACATATACGGACTAAGTCTCAGTAAATATATGATTCATCAAAAGGGTTGATTTCTCAGTCAATAATGAAAAAGTTGCCATGGGATCGAAGAGAATTCACAGAAAGAGAGGAAATAGAATGGAAATGAAGTACTGGAGATCATGTTTCGAAGATGAATGAAATACTTTGAACATATACATGGAAATTTAGTGAATGAAGGAGTGGAGTTTTCGTGTGCGGGAGAGGAGATCATGCATTGAACAGGAACCCAAAAACAGAATATATTTGACTTCTTCCAGTTTTTTGAGTGCCCTTGGATGCTAATAATTAAGATCCTAATCCGAAATTGCTGTTCGAAAAACAACAGAAAAAAAATTAAATAATAACGAAGGAACATCAAAACTCATAAAGAATTGACATAGTCATCGCTCTAACTCCGCTATACCATCTTCTTGGCTGCATACATTTCTTCTTAATAAATCTTTGTTTTTCCTAAACATCAATTTCTTTATACATCAGATTATACAATAAAGATAATCTTTATTTTGTAAACTCTCTCACAAATTCAAACATGAGGCCTCCAACAAATAAATTCATCTTTTTAACCATTTGGAATATGCCTAAGAGACAAACATCAAGCATTGTTCAAGAATTTATCACTCCTTTAATTCTATATACAACTAGTATTTTGAAGTGAAATCCAGCAGTTTATCAAATGTTGGAACGTTCTGATCAACTCCAAAAGGATATGCCTAACCATTCAAGACAAAAAATCTCTTAAATCTTCTTTATGGCCGACTCAATCTTTTGAATCCTAATTCATGCTAACTGAAAATGAATGCACCATAGATATCCATCTTAGGATATAATAAATATAAAAAATGTTATGCTTATAATGTCATGTGATGTTATAAGTGTTAAGGAAACCAAATCTGTATCATAGCATATTTATATTCTGTTAAAGCTCACATTCATTCTCTGTATAATATCCAAGATTGTGATTCACTTGCCTTATGTGGTAGGGCAACACTTAGGCTCCAACTGTATATATACTCTTGATATATTCATGAATAAACAAGTTCTTCTTACACTTTGAACACAACAGTGGTGTCAGAGCATTATACTCTAACGAGTCTCCTCTGTCTTACCAATGGCCAAAACCTTTGGAACCTGTGACAGCACCTCTTCTTCTAGTGCGAACTCTCCAACCCATAATTCTAATACCAGCAACCCGAACTCCGCAGCCATCGACCTCAACCATGCTACTCGAGGACCCATATCCTTCAACTCCGCTGCGTTTCCTCATAAGCTAACCCCCACCAATTATCCCTTCTGGAAAACACAATTCACATGTCTTGTTGCAGGTTATGATTTAATTGGTTTTCTGGATGGAACAAATCCGTGTCCTGTGGCTACGGAACCCACCTATGCTCTCTGGGCTTGGCAAGATCAACTCTTACGCCATGCACTCATTACTTTAGTTTCAGAGAACATCACACCCTACATTGCTGCAGCACCTACGGCTTAACATGCTTGGAAATTCTAGCCAACCTCTATGCAAACCGATCGCGTGCTCGAGTGATCACACTGAAGGAGCGACTTCAAAACATGTGTCGTGATGGGAGATCTGTCTCTGAATATCTCCGCCCTCTAAAAGTGGTGGCAAATGAATTAGGTACGATTGATCGACCCCTTTCTGATGATGATCTAACAGTATATATTTTGAATGGCCTAGGTTCAGAATTTCGGGAGATTGTAGCATCTCTTCAAACGCGTGACACCTCTCTGTCCTTTGATGATCTCCATGATCGGTTGGTGGCTCATGAAGAAAGTCTCCGACAAGAAGATACTAAATTGGAGTCTACTCCTCTCACTACTCACTTTGCTAGAGTAGCCGCAACACCCTTTTCCTCCATGGTGACTTCTGTTGGACTGTTGCCCACACCTCACAATGGTCGGTTTTTCACTCCACCACATTGGAACTATCGAGGAGCCCTTTCCTCCAACAGAACCTTCTCTGGGAATAGGCGGCGTGGATCTTTTGGCCGGCCCAACAATCGGCCTACTACTCAAGCTTGTCAATTGTGCCACAATTCAGGCCATTTTGCCCACAATTGTTCGTTTTACCAAGTTCAACAACACCCTTCGCATGCCAATTTTGCATCCTCTCCCAACACTGCTTCTGAGGATTGGCTACTCGACTCTGGTGCAACTCACCATGTGACCACGAACCTTGCCAATCTCGCCTTGCACTTTGAATATCTTGGCCCTGATGAACTTCAAATTGGGGATGGAACAGGTTTGAAAATCACACATGTGGGTGATACCACATTACCTACCTCTTCAACCTCTTTTACTTTACGTAATGTTTTATGTGTTCCCTCTGTCTCTAAGAACTTAATCTCTGTTTCTCAATTATGTAAACATACTAATGCCATTGTTGAATTTCACCCTGATTACTTTTTGGTGAAGGATCGAAGCACAAGGGTGACAATGTTGCGCGATCCAAACATACATGGAGTTTATCAACTCCCAAACAAAACTAAGCCTGTGGCTCTGGTTGGTGAATGTGTCTCTTTGGCGAACTAGCATGCACACTTAGGTCATCCTAATACAAAGACAATAAAATCTATAACTCGTGTTTTTAAATTACCTATTTCTAATAAAATGGACTTTTCTTTATGTGAATCTTGTGCATGCTCTAAGAGTCATAAGTTGCCCTTTTCTCACTCATCTATCACAAGTCATACTCCACTGGAACACATCTATTCGGATGTTTGGGGTCTAGCCCCAACCATCTCAATTGATGGATTTAATTATTTTGTATTGTTTATCGACCATTTTAGTCGATACATTTGGATTTTTCCCCTAAAACACAAATATGATGTTTCAATAATTTTTCCAAAATTTAAATCTCTTGTTGAAAATTAATTTGGCCTTTCAATTAAAAACTTTCATTCCGATGGTGGGGGCGATTACATTGCACTTCGTGATTTTTTTTCTAAAAATGGTATTTCCCATATTATCACACCACCTTATACTCCTGAACTTAATGATATTAGTGAGCATCGAAATCAACATATTGTCGAAATAGGCCTTACTTTACTCCACACTGCATCCTTGCCATCCAAGTTTTGGTCTTTTACATTCCAAACTACTGTCTACCTAATTAATAGGTTGCCAACAGTGACCTTGTCCTCTATATCTCCCTTAGAAAAATTATTTAAAGTCAAACCAAATTACTTAAAGTTGTGCATTTTTGGTTACTCTTGTTTTCCATGGCTCTGTCCCTATAATAATAATAAACTACAATATCACTCTCGTCCTTGTATTTTTTTGGGTTATTCACCGGATAACTTGAGTTACAAATGTTTTGACATTCACTCTAGAAGGCTTTTTTATTCGCGGCATGTTATTTTCAATGAAAACCAATTTCCATATAATACTCCTACTCTACAAAACTCTCTCTCAAGTTTTACCACAACTAGTTTTTCTAATTCCTCCTTTCCTCATGACTTCCCTGCACAGCCAGTTCCCATTGACATTGTTTGCCACCGCCCGGCTGTTGATCGCTCAATGTTGCCTCCTTGTGCTACGGTTCCCCATCATGATGTAGTCCACTTGTCCACCAAACCAGCTGTTCCTCACTCACCTGCCTCTCCGTCGGCTCCTCCCTTCGCACCTCATTCTCCTACTCAAAGCCCCTGTCCAACCTCAACCCCTACCGTCACCTCAACCCCAGTTGAATTAGACTCCTCTACTCCTCTATCCTCCAACCACGCCATTTCTAATGACCTCCCACCACCATCGCCTCCCCCACCTAGGCGCACTCATCCCATGGTCACCCGTTCTCAAAACAACATCCTTAAACCCAAGTCCTTACATCATGCGACCATGGCCTCCCCACTCCCTTCACCTGAACCCACTTTTGTGTCTCAAGCACTTAAAGATTTCCATTGGAGACGGGCCATGTCTGAGGAGTTCAATGCGTTGATTCGCTAAGGGACATGGGAGCTGGTACCTTATCACCTGAATCAACATGTTCTTGGCTGCAAGTGGATATTTCGGATAAAAAGGGGTAAAGATGGGTCAATTGAACGGTACAAAGCACGTTTAGTTACCAAGGGGTTTCATCAAAGGCTAGGTTCGGATTATTTCAACACCTTCAGTCCTGTTATTAAACCAACTACGATTTGGACTGTTCTCTCTCTTACAATTAGTCGCCGGTGGCCTCTTAAGCAATTGGATGTGAAGAATGCCTTTTTACATGGTGAACTCGATGAAGAGATATTTATGCAGCAACCTGCCGGCTTTGTTGATCAGAATCATCCCTCACATGTTTGCCGACTTTGCAAATCGATTTATGACTTAAAACAAGCCCCCCGAGCTTGGTTTCGAGCTCTCAAGGAATTTCTTCTTTCGCAGGGGTTCTTTAACTCCAAATCTGATTCTTCCTTGTTTATTTATAATAAGGGGTTTGTTGTGATTTTTTTTCTATTCTACGTGGATGATATCATCATTACTAGCAGCAACCTTTCCTTCATTACCTCTCTAATCCGGACAATGGGACATCGCTTCTCTCTCAAAGAGCCTAGCGACCTTAGTTATTTTCTTGGCATCGAGGTTGTGTCTGTTAATGGCGGTCTCTTTCTTTCACAGCATCGCTATATCCAGGACTTATTACAGAAGTCAAGTATCACTGAGGCTAAACCAATGGCTACTCCGCTAGCTTCCACTTCCAATTTGCCTCTCAACACCGGCCTCTTACAGATGGTTCAGAATACAAAAAGCTTGTCGGTTTTCTTCAGTATCTTGCTCTCACATGGCCTGACATTTCCTTTGTTGTTAGTCGTCTCTCATAGTTCATGCACAAACCCACTAATGTTCACTGGCCGGCTCTTAAGCGCGTTTTACGCTATTTTCGTGGCACTGCCTCTCATGGGATCCTTCTCCGACCACAACAGTCCCTCTCAATTCATGCCTTTTCTGATGCAGACTAGGTTGGGGACCATGACACTTGTCTCTCCATAACCGGATACATTGTTTTTCTTGGTGGAATCCCATTTCTTGGAGAGCGGCCAAACAACGTACCGTTGCTCGTAGCTCCACCGAAGCAAAGTATAGAGCCTTAGCTGTGTCTTCATCTGAGCTTGTTTGGGTTTCTCATCTGCTGG